GGGGATGCTTTAGGGCGGGGCTACACGGTGATTGACAGGTCTCTACCGGTACGTATACGGCGTCTCTACGTCACTCCTCCTCAGTCCAAAACAAACATGGCGACAGTCGTATTCAAAGATGGCAACAGTGAAATCGCCGAACTCAAGGCTTCAAAACATCAGTCCACGAACCAATGAGAGACGTCACAACGACACGTCCACTTCTTCTCCCCGCCTCTTCGGAGGACAAGCTACCGAGCTAACCAGCTAGCCTTCTCTCCTTAGCTACGTCCGTTCTTTTCTCAGTGAGCTGCTTCGACCATTAATGTAGAAATGTTCCGGTTCGTATGAAAGATGCTAAAAAAAGAAAAAGAGGCAAAGAGCTGCAGCGTCAGACAGGTTGAACTGGTTAAACTGTTTAAACTGGTTAAACTGGTTGAACTGGTTGAACTGGTTGAACTGGTTAAACTGGTTGAACTGGTTGAACTGGTTGAACTGGTTAGTGGTCCCAGTGATGCTCCTGCCCGTGTCACTGTGGTTACCGTTTCCATGGTGACATCGGAAATTACTCCAAGTGCACGGGACACTTGTTTTATTTATGTATTTTCTTCTTCTTCTTCTTTTGAAGAGGATGTCTGTGTGTGTGTGTGTATATATGTGCGTGTGTGTGTACGTGTGTGTATGTGTGTGAGTATGAGTGTGTGTGTGTGTGTGAGTGTGTGTGTGTGCTCACTGTAAACTGGATCTGACAGCCTCCCATGATGTAATCCAGGAAGGAGTGCATCTTGATGATCTGCAGACAGAACATTTCATATTTTAAAGGTTTCAAATGAAGTGACGTGACATCACGCTTTCATCAGCTGACTGGTATCGTCCAATCAGATTCAAGCAGCCGTGATCAGCAGCTTTCATAACACGACACTTGTTGTTTGTTTCTTTGATAATTTATTGTACAGAAATTGGAAGACAATGAAATCTACATATTTAACTATAATATATATAATATAATTCCAACAAGTGTTAACAATGTTAGAAAAAAAGTCTCTACATGTTATAAATATTAAACTATTCCCATGTTTCCAGCCTCCTCTCTCCTCTCCTCTCTCCTCTCTCCTCTCCTCTCTCCTCTCTCCTCTCCTCTCTCCTCCCCTCTCCTCTCCTCCCCTCTCTTCTCTCCTCTCTCCTCCCCTCCCCTCCTCTCATCTCTCCTCTCCTCCTCTCTCCTCCCCTCTCCTCTCCTCTCATCTCTCCTCCCCTCTCCTCTCCTCTCTCCTCTCCTCTCTCCTCTCCTCTCTTCTCTCCTCTATTCTCTCCCCTCTCTCCTCTCCTCTCCTCTTGCTCTCCTCCTCTCCTCTCTCCTCTCCTCTCTTCTCTCCTCCCCTCTCCTCTTCTCTCTCCTCCCCGCCTCTCCCCTCCCCCTCCTCTCATCTCTCCTCTCCTCCTCTCTTCTCTGCTCTCCTCTCATCTCTCCTCCCCTCTCCTCTTGCTCTCCTCTCTCTCCTCTCCTCTCTCCTCTCCTCTCTCTCCTCCTCTCTCCTCTCTTCTCTTCTCTCTCCTCTCCTCTCTTCTCTCCTCCTCTCTCCTCCCCTCTCCTCCTCTCTCCTCTCTTCTCTCTCCTCTCCTCTCTCTCCTGTCCTCTCTCCTCTCCTCTCTCTTCTCTCTCCTCTCCTCTCTCTCCTCTCCTCTCATCTCTCCTCTCTCTCCTCTCCTCCTCTCTCCTCCCTCCTCTCTCCTCTCCTCTGTTTCCGTTTCCGGTTGCGTGTGAGTGGTGGACGTGAGAGTGGCGCGCAGGTTTGATTGTACTTTCACTGCTTTGGGTTTTGTTCCTCTGTTCTTCTGTCTCTGCGCATGAGCAGGTAAGATACTAAGCAGTGTATTTATCGGTAGAACGTGTGATTAGTGGTGTTTGGCGTTGTTCGGGAGGATGGCGTCCTCCGAGACGCAACGCCCGTCAATCCGGCAGGAGTCCGGGTAGTTCCACCGGATAGCAGCGTGTCAGTAGAGGAGGTGCTGCTGGCTGTGGAGAGCAGGTGGGACATGACAAACTCTCCTTTGCATCTCGCATGAATAAAGCTGTGGTTGTGTTCGTGGCGAGCGAGGCTTATGTCCACAAGCTGATAGAGAGCGGCGTGTTCATCAGGGACAGCTTCGTGCAGGTCTCTCCGCTCTCAGTGCCCTCTACGCGGATCACCGTGTCCGGTGTTCCGCCGTTTATACCGAACGAGCTGTTAGAAAATGAGCTGCGCAGGTTTGGAAAGTTTGCCAGCGGATTTAAAACAGTCAGTTTGGGGTGTAAGGATCCCAAACTGAAGCACGTGCTGTCTCTTAGGCGGCAGGTCTTCATGTTCCTGGAGTCACCTACACAAACACTGGAGGTGTCCTTCAGGGTTAAACACGGGGAGGGTTCATACATGGTGTACGCTAGCTCGGGACAGATCAAATGCTTTGAGTGTGGACATGTAGGACACAAACGATTCACGTGTCCGCACAAGCGGCAGAGAGGCGCGGAGGCGGAGCCGGCTGCGGAGCCTGCGGCTGCGGCCGCGGTCGCGCCGGCGGCGGCTGTTGCCGGTGCGGTCGGCGGCGTTTCTTCGTCTTCTGCTGATAACAATAATGTCGATAAGGAGGATCAGGGCCAGTCTTACAACCAGCAGGCTTCTGTGGTGGCGCAGAACCTCACTACATGTGGTACCGAAGCACCACCACAGTCGGTAGAAGTCTGTGAAGAGGCAGCTACAGGTTCAGCAGGTGGAGATCGCACCATAGCCTTAGATGAAGCACAGAGTGTAGGGTCTGTGTCCAACAGCCAGCTGTCTTGTGAAGGAGAGGACATGGAGTATGAGAGTGAATCAGATGTTGCATCTAATTCTGAAACGTGCATTAAAAGCACTGATCTGTATTCACTAGAGGAAATAAACTCTTTTTTGGATGTAACTTACAATAGATCTGCAAAAGTGAGTGATTATTTCCCTGACATTGAGAAGTTCATACGATCTGTTGGGGTGGTGCAGAGAAAGGTGGGTTTGGACCTTCTAGATGGAAAAAAGCGCTTCCGCCTAAAGAAACACATCACAACCTTGAGGAAAGTAAGGAAAAGTGGAAGAGTTCAGAAAACTAAGACAGTTTAACATGATCATGTGTCACACGGGGGTTTCCACTTTCCACTGCTTACTTATCTTGTCTTACCTCCTTCCATCCTCTGACCTTTCTATGCAGAGCTTCAATTTAGGATCTTTAAACATCAATGGTGGGCGGGACGGGCATAAAAGAGCATTAATACAGGAGGTTGTAAATCAAAAAATGTTGGACATCCTCTTTTTGCAAGAAACTCACACCATTCCAACAGATGAAGTAGACTGGGGTTTATGGTGGGAGGGCTCATGCACCCTGAGCCACGGCACCAATCTTAGTGCCGGGGTAACCGTGCTGTTTAGAACAGCAGCTAACGCAACCGTCCTGTCTGTCACTGAGGTGGTGAAGGGTCGTTTGCTGATGGTGAGGGCAGAGATAGAGAGCTCGCTTTACTGCTTCGTGAACATATATGCACCGAATCAGGGGCCAGAAAGAGCACGCTTCTTCACTACGCTGCAAAACGAACTGCAGAGCTGCCATCAGGAGCAACTGATCATCGGAGGGGATTTTAACTGTACTCTAGACTTCACCATAGACCGGAACAGTGAGGAACCACACCCACAGTCAGCTCAGAGTCTCCACAACGTCATCACACACTTAGATCTGTTGGACACGTGGAGAATAAAACACCCATTAGACAGACAGTACACATGGGTTAGAGTCAGCAACGACAGGATCAGTGCAGCCAGGCTGGACAGAGTTTACATCTCTCGCAGTCTCAGTTCCAGACTGAAGAACAGCACAATCAGTCCAGTTGGGTTCACCGATCACCACCTCGTCAGTTTAGGTTTGATAACCTCACCAGGTGAAAGGGTTAGCTCCTACTGGCATTTTAATAATAAACTTCTACAGGACAGCACTTTTTGTCAGAGCTTTGGGGTTCTTTGGCAGCAGTGGAAAACTGAAAAAGTTCGTTTCAGTTCTCTGAAACAGTGGTGGGAAGTCGGAAAAGCGCAGATCCGTGTGTTCTGCCAGCAGTACACCTCAAACGCCACCGCTATAATCAAGTCTGCTGTTAAAGACCTTGAAGCCAACATAAAGATCATTGAGGAGGGCTTCCAGAGAGACCCAGATCCCGGTGTGGGCCAGCTGCTGAAGGAGAGGAGGTTGGAGTTGAGCTCCTTCCTGCAAGAGAGAGTGAAAGGAGCTCTGGTCAGGTCCCGTTTCCTCCAGTTGAAGGACATGGATGCCCCAAGCTCGTTTTTCTTCAACCTGGAGAGATCGGTGGCGCAGAGGAAGCGGATGACCTGTCTGAAGCTCCCAGGAGGCAGGATAACCACTGACCAGAGGGAGATGAGGACCCATGCCATGGGCTTCTACGCTGCTCTTTTTGGGGAAGAGCAATCCTGTACGGAGAGCAGTAGGGAGCTCCTGGAGGGTCTTCCCCAGCTCAGTCCAGCAGAGAGGGCTATGCTGGACGGAGAGCTGACGCTGGAGGAGCTGACGGTTGCAGTGAAACAGATGGCTTCAGGAAAGACTCCGGGAATCGACGGTCTCTCCTCGGATTTCTTTAAGAAATTCTGGAACATTATCGGTTCTGAATTACACTCTGTTTTGATGGAATGTTTTAAAACAGGATCACTTCCTGTTTCATGCCAGCGGGCAGTACTCTCCCTGCTGCCCAAGAAGGGCGACTTGGCCCTTCTTAAGAACTGGAGACCAGTGGCCCTGCTTTGCACAGACTATAAGGTGCTTTCCAGAGCCTTATCCAACAGACTAAGAGACTACCTGGAAGTGGTTGTAAATAGTGACCAAACGTACTGTATCCCAGATAGAACAGTTATGGACAATATTTTTCTCATCCGTGATGTGCTTGATGTGTGTAAATTCCACGATGTCGATGTAGGTATTGTCTCACTAGACCAGGAGAAGGCTTTCGACAGGGTGGGTCACGCATATCTGTTTTCTGCACTCAGGGCTTTTGGGCTTGGTGATGGGTTCTTGGCTTGGGTGGGTTTGCTGTACAGTGGTGCTGAATGTATGGTCAAAATGGGAGCTGGCCTGAGTCGACCGATCCCTGTACAGCGAGGGATAAGGCAGGGTTGTCGTATCTCAGGGCAACTATACAGCCTCGCTTTTGAGCCTCTGTTGTGCAGGCTGAGAAGTCAGCTCAGTGGTCTGTCACTGCCTGGGTCCTCCAGTCTTTGTAGTCCCCTCGCTGTGTCTGCATATGCTGATGATGTAAACATCTTCATCAGGGACCAGGGAGATGTTCTATGTCTGCAGGATGCTTTGTCTCTTTATGAGAGGGCTTCATCTGCACGGGTGAACTGGGAAAAATCTGAAGCCTTATTGGTGGGACAGTGGAGACATCAGACGGTGCCTCATCTGCCTGGAGGTCTTCAGTGGGGAAAAGAAGGTCTAAAAGTGCTGGGTGTGTTTTTGGGCTCTGAGGTTTTTGAGAAAAAGAACTGGGAGGGAGTTAAGGAGAAGGTGTGTGCTCGGTTCTCTAGGTGGAGATGGTTACTACCCCAGTTGTCATATAGGGGAAGAGTTCTGGTTGCTAATAATTTGGTTGCCTCGACTCTGTGGCACAGACTCATCGCTCTGACGCCACCTGGAGGCCTCATAGCAGAGATACAGAGGTCTGTCGTGGACTTCTTCTGGTCCGGCCGGCACTGGGTTCGTGCAGCAGCTCTCTATCTGCCTGTGGCAGAGGGGGGGCAAGGTCTCATCGTTATCCAGTCCAGGATCGCCTCTTTCAGACTCCGGACTGCACAGAAGCTGCTGTATGGCTGTGGCCCCAGCTGGATGGACACGGCTCGACTGCTGCTGAGGAGAGCTGGGCGGTTGGGATATGATAAGCAGCTTTTTCTCCTACAACCTGAGGAAGTGGACTTGGCCGGGCTGACGCCGTTCTACGGCTCTGTTCTGCAGGCGTGGCAGATTTTTAACATTTCACGTAAAGCTGATGAGACTCTGGGCGTGTGGCTGCTGGAGGAACCTTTGTTCTTCAACAGCTTCATTAGAACCCAAACGCTGCGGTCTGCCAGCCTGAGAACTCGTCTGAGAGAAGCCGGCTGCACTAAACTGGGACATTTGGTGAAGATGTCATTAACAGCAGCATCTATGGTCACCTTCAGGCAGAACACTAACATCACGTCTGTCAGGTTGACCAATAGAATAGTGGAGGAGGTCTGTGCCGCCCTGCCACAACGCCTGAGAGCAGTTGCAGGAAACTGTACTCTGGCTGACCAATAGAAACAGAAGAAACCCTTTTTATTGTCATATACATATACACATACATGAAACTTGACCTCTGCATTTGTCCCATCCCTGTATATAGGGAGCAGTGGGCTGCCAATGACAGGCGCCCAGGGAGCCGGGGGTTCAGTGTCTTGATCAGGGACACTTCGACACTTCGACACGTGGCACGTCCCAGTCGAGGATCAAACCGTTGACCCTACGGTTACCAGACAACCCTCTTAAGCCAGTGAAGAGAGTGAGTACACCCTCCCCACTCTGCTCATTGCCCCAGCGGTGGGGGACTGGCAGGGGGGAGGAAACAAGCTGCTGACGTTCACAACCCCTCACCTGGACAAGTTTCAGGCAGCAGAGAAGAAAGCTATCTATGAAATCTGTGTAAAGGTTGTGAACCTCCGCTCTCTGGCAGGGTTGACAGAGTCGAGGTGGACCGAGTTCTTTGGCCCAGGTTCTTCCCCGAGAGGCAGCTGGAGGTGCATGTACAAGCTGCCCGTTGAAAAACGGACAGCAGACCTCCAGTGGAGGGTTGTACATGGAGCTATAGCCACCAACAGATACCGGGCACACCTGGATCCACAAATTTGGGAGGAGTGTTATTTCTGCGGTCAGACTGAGACCCTGGAACACTTGTTTGTTCAGTGTCCTCGGCTCTCAGCACTCTTTGAACGGTTAAAAAGATGGTTTCAGGGTCTTGGAGAGGTTTTTTCTTTTATGTTGTTCATCTTCGGTCCAAAATACTGCTCAAAAAAGAAGGCTGTCCACACAATGGTGAACTTTTTATCTGGTTCTGCCAAGTTGGCCATCTGGTTGACACGGAAGAATCGGGCTCGGGGTGCCGGTAGTGAGGATCCGGTGAAAGTTCTGGAGGGACTGTTGAAAGCCCGACTCAGGGTGGAACACACCTACTACCAGACAGTGGACGATTTACAGGCTTTCAGGGACAGATGGACTACTGGGAGCATTTTATGCTCAGTGGGTGCTGGTGGAGAGCTGGTGGTGAACTTCTGAACATATTGATCATTGAAATTGATTGTTTATTTGTTCTTTGGTGCTTTATTTTTTGGTTATTTGTTTTTATTTTATTGATTTTCTGATTATTAAGTGATGATTTAGAGTGTTTCTGTTTTTCACTGCAATAGTGAAATAAAGGGATTTTAAAAACCTAACCTCTCCTCTCTGTGTTCACTTCCTGTAGTTCAGTCAGAGTGTCTCTTCCTTGTTGTCACATGACTGTTGGTCTCAGATGAATCAATCATTACAGTCATTTTTAGCAGACGCTTTTATCCAAAGCAACTTACAATTCAGATTCTATCACATTTCTACACCGTAGGCACAACTACGGGAGCAATTTTGGGGTTAAGTGTCTTGCTCAAGGACACATCGACATGCGACTAGCGGAGCCGGAGTTCAAACTGCCGACCCTCTGATTGAAAGACGGCCCTGCTATCCACTTAGCCACAATCGCCCATCATGACTTCATAGTTTCATACTTTAATGTTGTTACACATTCTGGTTAAAGTGAACTCTTTATTAGAGGAGACATTTATAATGAGAACATAAAGAATAAAATGTTTTGATGAAATATAAGTTTAAGCTTCGTTTTGGTTGATTTTTCTGATGGAAGCGTTGGTCACACACGATGTGTTTTAGGACCGTCGGAAAGATGAAAATCTCAAGATAATGTCGGCGTTTACAGCTTCTGGCTGATAAACGGTGCAGTTTTGGTGATTGTTCATACTGATGAGGATCAGTTTCATGGTCCTGGTTAGTCTACCTCACCCTGAGGCTCTCATTTCATAAGCAATCAAGATCATTAGAAAGGATGAAGGATCATTTGAGCTCTGAATAAACAAGTCCTTCCATTGAATTCATTGATTGATGCAGTTTGTTTTAAGTCCGTCGTCTCTTTTATATAAATATTTTTCAAATAAAACATATTCAAATTGTCGATGGGATTGTTGTGGATGAGTAAAGGTTGAATTTAAATGAATTTAAAGGTGAACTTGTATCTTGGGCTGTGGTCTTCCTGAGTGTGGCAGAATGAGATCAGAGAGGATCTTTACGGAGGAACCTGATCTCAATGATAACTCTCCTCCTGCTCTTACAAAACATTTGCTTTTAATTTCCTTTCCTCCGGCTCCTCGTCCATCGAGTGTTAATGAGCCTTCTTTTGAAGCGTGTCGAGTGTCATCAGGCTGAATGTTATCTGGCTCTGGATCGGGCGGCAGGATTCCCCCGACTCCCCCGTTCACTGTCTAAATGTCGGTTAGTCGGGCTGCATGATAGGCTCAGTGTGTCACTCAGACGAGCCTCCGAAAAACATTCATCTCTACTGAGAAATCCAGTTTTAATGTCCTAAACCTGGGAAAAAATATTAAAAAACAATAATGGGATGAGATCTAAAAGAGTTGAACAGGAATGCAGCGTTTCTGTGGTTGTGTTGAGTGAACCTGAGCTGCACGTTTCTTGAAGTTAACTCAGTTTCTCAAGATCTTCTCTTTAACTTAACTAAGTTATTTCCTGTGAAAAGATTTCATGTAAGGAGCAGAAATTTGACACGTGTTGCTGGACTTTAGCATCAAAACACAAGATAAATATGAGGAGTAACTTATTTTAAGTTGTATGAGGCTACGTTGATTGACAGGTCGTCTCTGACACCAACACTGATTCTAGAGCCTCAGTTTGTTCTTTAATCGTCTTTACTGCAGCTCATCAGAGTCTTAAACAGCTCTTCACTTCTACTTGTCTCTCTGTTTTCTCTGCTTTTCACTTCTGCCCAAAATCTAATTGCCTTTGTGGATTAATAAAGTTATATTGAATTAAAGTGATGTCTCTCTGGCCCCGCCTCCAGCCACATGTCTGTGTTACCTGTCCACCTGATGACCTCCTTCCTCCCACCTGAGCCTCGTTCCCTCGTCAGCCCTGCAGCAGTTAGAGCAGCTTGTTGTCTCATGTCTTTGCTTCTCTACCATCTGTCACGTGTTTCCTTCTTGGACTCATGAATCTTTGAATCCATCCTTTTAGATTTAGGTCTACTGGTTCAGACTCTGACTTCCTGGTTTTGACCTTTGCCAGCAAACATCTCCATTAAAGGAGAAAAGAAAGCGCGACTAGTGTTTCTGTCTTCATTAGTCTCTGAATATGATGATGAATGCAATCATCTTCATTAGATCACATGACGTATGCTGATCCCACTGTGTTGTGTTTCTTTAGCACTGACAGCGTGTTGAGAACAAAGAGCAATAGATGACGGTATAGATGTTGATATCTGTCAGCTTTGTATTTATGAATCGTCTCAGGACTGAAAACACTCCTCCCTCTGTGGAGTAATAAAGTAAAGTTACAGCAGCAGACAGTGAGACATCGCTGTTTTAACTCACTCTCTCACACAAACAAGCAGTCATGATGACGTGTTGTACTTTTCTGTCGGTTAGAAATATTATATTTAGAAATCCATGTAAACTGAATATATCCAAGTTACCGTTGAATGACACCAGCGTTATGTCTGCTATATGCCAAGAAAAACTGTTATTAATGTAATGTCGCAGTTTCAGAATAATTCAATAATATTGCTATTAATATAGTGTTTTAAATAAATAATAACAATAATGAGTTACTTATAGGACCATATAATACATTTGAGCTGTAATTAGGTGGAGGACCGTCATCTTTATGAAGTCTGATTCATGACCTGTCTTTATTCTCTGTTATTAGTTTAAATAGCAGATAATGTGAAGAATCAACAGCGACATAGAGCGGAGTGTCGTCTGCATAGAGGTGGAGATCAATGCTGTGCTTATGGATCGTGATCCATAGTGGTGGAATATTAATATTCCATATAGTACAGTGGACTCAGGTCAGAGCCGTGTGGTACTCCATGTGGAATATTTGTTTTTTTTTAATGAACACCTCTGTTACGTGCTGACGTTGCTAAACTGTTGTTTTACTGTTAAAATTGAGTTTTTTTATCTGAACGAATGTTAGTTTGTCATAACCTCCACCAAGCAGGTTATGTTCTTCAATTTGTTCTTCAGGATTACAGAACAACTTCTGGTCTATTTCATGAAATTGGTGGAAACGTGGTCCATGAAAGTATCACAGGACTACAAACAATATTCTTTACTTCCTGTAGTTGGCCTCCGTGGGGTTAACTGTGCTGTTAATGAGCCAAACGAAACCCTCGCATGTCACATTTCCCAGCAGCACACGAACACACTGCGAGGGACAGAAATAAGGTGCTTTAATAAGTCGGTCAGTCACCTTGCACTGGTTCAGAATGACGATCCCAGAGTTCCTGTAGTTCTTCTTCTTGACTGTGTATTTGGGATTCAAGCATGGCCACTGCACCTGAAAACACACACAGTCATTATTATAGCGAGTTATTTTCATATATATAAACATAAATACAAATTTAAAAAAGCAATTAAGAACAATACAAAAACCTCCGGACATCACATACGTGAGCGACACTCACACAATAACAAGAAGAAATCACAGAACGGCCATTTCTAAAACAATAAAAGCTTCATGCATAAAGGAATATGAAAGTAATTAATACAAGTATTTGAACAGGAAATAAAAATCTGTTCATCAGAAAACAGTATAAACATTTAACTTTAACCACGACTTAATGAAAATGACTACAAGTAGCATTTAAAGTGTTCGAGTCATTTTTTATTTGAATTATTTTTAAGTCTTTATGACTCATTCCACTTCTCTATTCATGACGTTTTATTTCCTTTGAAAAGGATTCTATTTACATTTTAATGTTTTCATGTATATGTTTTTATTCATTTATTTAGTTTTTAATGCATTATGCAACACGTTGAATTGTGTATGAAATGTGTTTAACAATAAACTTACCAAACCTTCATGAAGTGGATATTTTAACTTGAATGAAGTAGTTTATTTTTACCTGAAACTAAATGAACCTTAAACGTTGTGTTGTCACATCATGAAGGAATGTCATATTTCCAACAGGGTTTGGCGGAGAAGCAGACTAACATCTGTTAGATGTTGATGCTTATGACAGGAAACAGATGTCTCAGCTAATTTTCAAAATAAAAGCGTCCAGCAGCTAATCTCTGATCAGTTTTATCTACTGCAGGTGAAGCTCATCATTGAGATGATAATTCAGTCATAAAAAAGATCATATCAACAACATAACTGAGTCTTCAGAGGTACAGACGATAGTCTTGATGATGACTTTAATAAAACGCGTTGTATTGATGGAAGATGTTTGTTTATCAGCACGCTTACAGACTCGCTTTCTGTCTCTACACTGATGTTCTGAGTGTAATTAATTAGCCAAGAAAGAGACGAAATGCACAATAATAATAATAAGTAATAATAAGTGTGTGTGTGTGTGTGTGTGTGTGTGTGTGTGTGTGTGTGCATGAGTCTGGACACACCACTAATCCACTGCACTACAAGAGCACAGGCCTGGAATTCAATAAGTATATAAAGTCATATTTAATCTCAAAATTACAATATTGGTCAGAAAAAAATCACAATTAGATATTTCGACAGAAGTGAGATGAGCGTCCTCACGTCCTACTTGTGGAGGGAACAGAGCTCTCTGAGCGGAGAGTCTGGCACACGGCCATGTTAACCACAAAACACCTCCGAGCTCCACACGATCCTTCAGCCGGACAGACGAGGCCTCCGAGGATTCACTCTGACTCTATTACAACGTGACCGCGGGAAAACCAGGCGGCACACGGCGGTTCAGACTCTATTTGTGTCTGCATAGATGGATGGAGGGGGGGGTGAACCGAGAGCTCCCTGGAGACTTCGGGTCGGGAGCCGACTGTCAGCTGAGGAAGGAGGCCAATAAATAAAACCTGAACAGAAGAAGAAGAAGAGGTGGGGGAGGGGAGGAAGGGTTCCCCGATGGGACTCGACTGACTGCTCACATTGTTTGTCCTCCTGTTGGATGACGGCAGCGATGAAACGACTTCCTGTTTCAGGGTTGTTGGAGGTGACTGCATCTCTGACCAATCACATGTTCAGAGCAGACTGAATGTAAGAAGTGGACGAAGACGCTGTGACGCCAGACAATTGTTTGTGGACTGATGTTTTGAAGCCAACAGTTCAGCATTTTGGCCGTAGCCATCTTGGTCTTCAACAAACAAACAACCTTTTAATAACCCCTGGAGACAGAAAGGCAACACTCGCCGATCTCTGGCCAACAACTCAATGTATTGTGGTCCTGACACCTTGAGTAGACACTGGGCATGACTAACATGTGTCAAAAAAGAGAGTTGAGATCCCAGGAGAGCTGCCTTAAATGAAGGAATACATGTTCGGTATGTGAATCAGGCTAAGGGGACATAAAGCGTATACTTATAGTTAAAGGATGAAATCTAATAATCATTTTAAAGCAAGTGTGTATAACATAAGAATTATGAAGTGATTTAACAAATGTAAAACTGATAACAACAATGTATGTGTATCTGAGTAAAGTGAAGTCTGTGTGTGTGTGGAAAGAGCTGATGTAAGCAGGGTGGGGGCCTTAAAGGCTGAGATCATAACAGATGTTGGTTGACACACTGTTGGTTTGAATCTGATCATGAGATTTGTTGATCATTCACAGCCACAGTCTGAGGTGATAGTGAAAGATGAGACGATCAATAACTTTGTCCTGAACCCAGGCGACAGTAAACTATACGATGCATTCAACACCTGCAGCGCTTCATGTTTGACATGGAGGACGAGTTAATGAAAACGGTGGCGTCGTGTCATCAGTCAAAGTGGATCATTACAGTGAAACTATTCGTGTCCTCGTCACTGATAATGAGACAGCTGAGAGGGAGTCGCACATCGTTAGTGTGTTTTCAGCCGTGTGTTGTCATCTTCAGGCAGTTTGCAGAGAGAAAAAAACACTCAACCTGAGCACGTGGAAACAGAGCGCCGTTAACGGAGCGCTTTAATTAGCGTCTGCCAAATGTCTGTCCAACAGCCGTCTCAGCAAACTGCGTCTTCATTAGCTCGGCCTCCGTCTCCTCCGTCCCGGCTAATTACACCGTCTGTCGACATAAACTGTGCGGCCCCCGAAGGTGCGTTTTCAAAGGGCGGTTACGCTGCTGGTTGGAGCTTTCACGGAAATCCTGGAGCTGCAGGAACCTGACGGAGATCAGGTCATTTCCTCTTAAACCTCCCGGGGCTAACGTCTGCTGCTAACTGTGGTTTGCAGCCACTTTTAGCGACGCGGCTAAGCGGAAGCTAATGTCAGTCAAATGGTCACTGTGGTGAGATGGGTTTCAGCTGCAGATGTTTTGGCTCTGAGTTGTTTTCTTTGCCAAAGAACTCTGCAGCCGTGCTAGCACCTCTGTGAGTCATTTTAACGCTAGCATGACGACGTGCTCTCAGCTCTGTGACTCATGCTAACGCTAGCATGACGACGTGCTCGCAGCTCTGTGAGTCATGCTAACGCTAGCATGACGACGTGCTCGCAGCTCTGTGAGTCATGCTAACGCTAGCATGACGACGTGCTCTCAGCTCTGTGAGTCATGCTAACGCTAGCATGACGACGTGCTCGCAGTGACGACGCTAACATGCTTTAGATTATTGACCATGTTCATCGTCTTAGTGTTCGCAATTTAAATACAACATTTGGGGTCACATGGGCTGCTTGTTCCCTGCTTGTTCCCTAGATCTCGCTCCCTAGAGGGCGCTGTTACATGTTGGTACCACAGACTGAAGTAGACGTAACAGATTGGTTTGTGGACGTTTTGAAGGCTCCAGTTTGTTATTTTGGCCGTCGCCAAGCCAAAGTTCTACTGGATGTCTCATCTCATTGTCTCTCAGTGAACCGTTTGAGAGGTTGATGACTGGACGTATGTGAATGAAACCTTAACGTCTTTGTCTCCCACCTGTCGTCCATCGATGGCTCCTCTCATCTCTTTGAACGAGGCCTCGAACTCACCGATGTAGTCGTGCTTCCCGTTCGAGTCCCAGTCCCACACGGTGCACTGAGTGGACAAAAAAACAGACAGCTCAGTGGACAGCTGAGTTATGAACGGATGAGAAACAAAAACATGGAACACGTCTGAATCATCAGAGGAGAGATGTTCCTCTGTTATCATGTCTGAACGTGATCATCACACTCTGAGTTATGTAATCATCATTCAGGCACATTCATCCGGTGATGAAGACGCTCGTTATACAGAATACTGGAGGAAACGTTTGTGCTTCTTCTTCTGTCTTTATAACGTAAAACCTAAAAACCTAGATTATTAGCTTATGTAGATACGTGTAGAGACGCTGTGATAGAGGTGCTGCTGGACCCTCCGTCCACACCGTGACGTCCTCCCAGTGGAACCAGTGGTTCCACTGGTTCCACTGGTTCCACGAATAAATCAGACGAGAGCTCTGAATCCAGGACGGTTCATGAAAAATAGATCGAAGGAGGTGAAGAAGAACGCTGATGGTCTCACTGCGAGAGAGGACAAGATCTCCATCTCATGAATTTACAGAACACACACACACACACACTAACACTCGTGCTCCAGTTGTCATTTCAGTCTGGTGGTTTTATATTTTCATATATTCATGCAGGAGTTTTAGTAAGCAAGTGGGCCATTTACTGTGTGTGTGTGTGTGTGTGCGTGTGTGTGTGTGTGTGTGTGTCATGAAACCCAATATGTAAATATATCTCCTTTATATTCCTGTGGCTAAGCAGGGCCGTCTTTCAATCAGAGGGTCGGTGGTTCGATCTCCGGCTCCGCTAGTCACATGTCGATGTGTTCTTGAGCAAGGCACTCAACCCCAAACCCTGCTCCCTGTGGTGGACTCTGAACTGTACGTCGCTTTGGTTAACAGTGTGTAAATGACTGTAATGTAATGAATGCTTTGTGGAGCAGTAGACTGGTGTCCCATGTGACCTGTAGGCGGCGCTACAACTTTAAAGAACATTTAAGTTCTCCACAGTTTCATCATCATCATCTCTAGAACGCTGTCAGACTCATAACGGATTTATATTTGTCTCTTTATAAATCTATGTCGATATCTATTTTATTCCACAAATCCACCAATTCTTTCTCTTCTTAAGAGCCTACATTGCCCACAATGCAACAGTATACACACGTGTATTGACTTCTGGTGAAGAAGACTCGTGGCAGCCAGTAGGACGAGGCGAAGGTGCGAGTTATTTACTTGTTTCTCTGTAACTCCTTCTCATTCATGTTGGTTCAGTTATTGAATGTTTTTACACGCTCATGAAACAAATTACAACGACAGACTGAGAGAAGAAGAAGAAGAAGACAGGATGATGAAGGTGTAAACGTTGTCTCTCTCTCTTGTTAAGGTCAACAGGAGTCAAGTGTGCGAGTGAGCCAATTAGAGACGGCCTGGAAGAGTGTGTGTAGTTATTAGTGTGTGTGTTTATGCATGCGTGTGTTATTCTATGAATATATTAATGTGAGTGATGGTCGTAACTGTGTGTGTGTGTGTGTGTGTGTGTGTGTGTGTGTGTGTGTGTCGTCATTAAGGTGAACATTACAGCAGCATCCATGATGGCCCCTGGCTGCCTCCTCCTCCTCCTCCTCCTCCCTTCTTAAGAGAGAGAAAGTGTTCTAGTTGTCTACCTGAGAGGAACCCCACAGAGACTTTTAATGAGCCGTCACACTCACAGCTTCATTCTTTCAGCTCGGAGGGAAAGACTTTAGAGTAAATTAGCAGCTCGGCTTGTTTCCACAGAGAAAAACCTGAAGAAGCTCCAGAAGTCTGACATCTCCTGCTTCAGGTTTCTAAATTTAGAGAAGAGACTCTCAGCGAGGTGCAGACATCTGAGGACAAGGAGCGAGATTATAGACTGTGTTTAAGAAGTGGACGTAGTCATGACGTCACCCATTGTTTTTTGAAGCCTCTAGTTCAGCGGTTTGTCCGTCGCCATCTTGTTTATTTGCAACCAGTGAACAGGAAGTGACCATATCTGGACTGAGGAGGAGTGACGTAGAGACGCCGTATACATCTCTGGTAGAGACCTGTCAATCACTGTGTAGCCCCGCCCTAAAGCATCCCCTGCTTTATGGTCTGTTTGACTCTAAATGGACCATAATGTACTAAATGAACATCATGCTGTATTGAAGAAGACTTGAAACTAGAGATTGAGACCATAAACTCAGGTTTACAATGTTTACTGAGGTAATAAATCAAGAGAGAAGTAGAGTCATTTTCTCATAGACTTCTATACAACCAGAGGAGTCGCCCCCTGCTGGACACTAGAGAGAATACAGCTTTGACACCTGAAGCTTTGACTTCACTTTAATCTACTTCCTGTCACAGGATTTGTGGTAAACCTGATCACCTTTGTGATCCGTCAGCTTCTGTTTAGAAGAACACGAGTTCCTCTTTCTGTGTGCGTGTGCGTGTGTGTGTGTACCTGCAGCTTGCGTTCGTGGTCTCCGCTGCAGAGCGAGTTGAGAGACACTTTGAAGGTTTTCCACACCGGGTTCAGATTATTCATCACCGTCTGAGAGACACGGAGGAGACGAGAAGTTGTTAAAAAAACGATTTACAAAGATGGCCGAGCGTCTCTCAGAGATAATCATAGTCGTGTTCACGAGTCTTTGTTGCGTCCAAACAGCTCGCTGCAGCAGAATGAACGAGAAGCTGACTGTCTTTGATAAAAGATGGAATAACAACACTCAGAGTAGAGGCTGCTCATCCAGCGTTCACCGCTCATAACAAGCAGAAACTGACTTCATATGATCCATGTGATCATGAACCAGGAAGTATAAAGAACACAACAGTCTGATACAATCTGTTTCTAAACCTAACTAAGTTGTTTCTTGTGAAGATGGAAATATATTCTGAAAAGAATAAAATAAATTGACACGTGTTGCTTAACTTTTGTAGGAAACGATGAATGAGGAGTATTATTTATTTTATTCATAAGTAGTATTGTTTAATTGTTCTAGATGTTTGCTTGTTTAGGTTAGATTGTTTGTTTGATATATTAAGATTGCTTTTTTCTTTTTAATAATCATTTGTTTAGTTGAATTATGTTTGGTTGTTTAGTAAGTTTAACTACAGTTACATGATTTCATGTCATTTCACAAGAACTTGCTCACTTTCTCTATATTGTCTGACATTAAACTAGCAGGTATTTTAACAGAAACATGGCCTCTCATGTAAGATGAATCCAGAAGCAGCTATGACGTAGCGGTTATCGTAGCACGTAAGCTAACAGGTGACAGATGCATCGTACTGGATCATTATTGATCAGCCGACAACACAAACAAGACGTTACATGCTCAGAGAGGTGGGGATGTGGTTTGAGCTCACAGTAGTGTATAATCTATGTTGTGTGTATAACGTGTATTATGTGTGTGTTTGTACCTCCGTTCTGTAGACGAGCTGCATCGTGGCGTCGTCGTTCACTCGGTAGATCTCCAGGAACGGGTCGGATTTACTGAAGAAGTCCTGCAAACACAAACAGTGAAATGTTTGTGTAAAACAAACAGACACATGTTAATATGTTTTTAAATTTATATGTATATTATATTTATATTTGTATTTAGCAGGTTAACTGTGGTCGATGGAGCTCATTTACAGCTACTCAGCAATAACACGTTAACAACACAAGTATTTCAAATAATCGACGGCTGATTGAGGGATTGATTTGTTTGTTTCATTTATGGAGCAGTACAGTAGCTTTTATTATGTTCTAGCTGTTGTAGCTACAGATGTTCTGGACATGTGAGGTGATGAAATGTTCCTTCTACATTTCTGCACAATGTGAAAGGTTAGAGGAGAGGAGAAGAATCTTTGTTGGACAGCAGGTTACATAGTTTGACTGTCTGGCTGTCTGATAAACGTCTGACCACAAAGAGCTTCAACTCAGGCAGAGCACAGACTCATCTCTGGTGAAGTCTGCAATGTTTAAATAGTCTGAAATTGTTGAATACTACAAAGAGACAGAAAACAACAACAAAGAGACACAGAGCAACTACAAAGAGATAGAATGATTACAAAGATACATTTAACAGCTACAAAGCGGCACATGTTGATGACAAAGAGACACAAAACAATTAGAAAGATACATAAAACAACTATAAAGCATTTATCACATTTATATTTTATCAGCTACAAAGTGACACGTTGATTACAAAGACAAAAACAACAACAAAGAGACACGAAATAACTACAAAGATACAGTGAACCACAACAAAAACACACATATTGACCATAAAGAGACACAAAGAGATAAGAAATGAGACCTTGTCATCCAGTTTTCTGGCGCTGAACGAGAGCTCGATGTAGTCGTCGTTCCCCGTCAGCTCCTCTGCTGTGATCTGCAGACAACACGAGAACATTTTATAATTAAGACTCGTCTGATTTTATTAACGAAAGTAAACTAAGAGCAAATGAAATGTGATGAAACAGCGATGAGATTAAATCCTTATAATCGGCTTCTTCTTCTGTTTTCCCCTGAAGGGTCAACACATTAACATCAGACAGCGACATGACAGATAATGGACGACATGTTACAGAAAACAGAATAATATTCAGATCAACAACAGATCAGCCTGCAGGTTTTCATATGACGGGTTTTCACTTTAAAGGTGCAGAAAAATGACCGAAGATATATTCAGTTTGTGTTCATGTCATCATGTAAACAGACATAAAAAGAGCTGAGGGAGAGAAAACATATTGAATTATACAGGAAGACAAATCTGCTGCGACAAGAAATGACTGAAGAGGAGAAGGAAGGAGAGAAGGAGGAAAGGAAGAAATATGGAGAAGTGAAAGTACGGCACGAATGAAAGAAGTAAGAAACAAAGAAAGGATGGCCCCAAAAAAAGATATAAGAATGATAGAAGGGAAAGAATGTGGAAGTAAACAAATAAGGAAATGAGAGATGTAACAAATGAACAAGAGAGGAAGAAAGAAGGAAAGAGATAAAAGTTTACAATCACTTCTGAAGTCTTCCTCACTCTCTGATCTCAGATCTGTAACCTTCTTTTATCTTAAACAACAACAACAAGCTGCAGCTGGTTCAGGATCTGTTTGTAGTTCAGCTGAACCAGGATCAGGACTAAGTTCATGTCTCCTTCTGTATCTGACTTTAACTGATCTGAGTTCTGTTGTTTCAACCCTCAGACTGTTTGAAGTTCAGTGATGTGAAAAACAACGACCTTCAACATGAAAGAAAGAGAGGTGGAAAGAAAAGACAAAAGTAGGGCTAAGGAAAGGAAGGAACAGGGGGGGAAAGAACGATTAATGGAAAAGGGAAAGGAAGAGAGAGGAAAGGAGGGAGAAATTAATAAAGAAAGGAGAGAAAGAAGGAAGGATGTGCGATGATAAGAAGAGATGGAGAGAGAAAAAACAAATGAATAAATTAAATGAAGAAAGGAGGAAGGAAGGAAGGCAGAAGGAAAAGATCAAAAGTAAGGAAGGGAAGAAAGAAAAGAAGGATAAATGGAAAGGAAGGAAGTAAGGAAAAAGGTAGGAAGGAAGGATCCTTCCTTCCTTTCCTACTAGAAATGAAAAATGTAAGACGGAAATAAGAGAGAGGTACAGAAAATAGGAAGGAATAAAGGAAAGAAAGAAGGTAGGAACTAGGAAGGGAACGAAATATGGAAGGAAGGAAGGGAAGAATGAAAGAAAAAAGGAATGAACAGGTAAAGGAAGGAAGAAGGGATTAGAAGAATAAGACAGAAACAGAAAGATTTTTTTTTAATGAAATAAAAGCTCTGGTTCGCTGCTTCCTGCTCAGAAATCCTTTCAAAGTAAAAACCCCTGAACCGTTTCATGTGTTCACAGAGGTGAAGAAAAACATCAGCGTGGGATTTTCCAGTTGTGGACGAATGACGAAGTAAATCTGTGAGGATCAGAGCTCTCACAGCTGATTGGACGAACCACAGAAGCAGCACCTGAAAAAATCCTGCTTCCTGTCTGACGAAAGGCTTTAATGTCTGAGAGTCAAACACTTCATGTGTGTCAAGAAAGTACAGAGATAAGAGATGATCCCTCACTGGCTTCCCACCCGACAACAATATGGAACTGAGTCACACCACTGGTTTAAAACTGAGACCTCGGTTGATTTCAACTTTGGGAAGAGGGGAAGAAGAAGAAAGAATGAGGGATAGAGAAGGAATGAAGAGAAAGAAGAAAGAGAAAATTATAGTTGTTAGTTGATTAAAGTTATGATGAAGCAGTTAAAAGGAAACAGTTACAATGAAGCAGTTACGATGAAACTGTTACGATGAAGCAGTTACGATGAAGCTGTTACGATGAAGCAGTTAC